TGATCAAGTAGAATCATGTCCAAATATGCGTTTTTTTAATAAGAAATCCACAGTATGATAATATAACATATTAGATTGTTCCTAACACAACATTTCCCAACTAATATTATGAATAAGAATTTCTATGACTTCCAGGTAACTTGTACGCTCTAAAAATGCATATGACTTTTTTGTTGACTGTTTGAATCTAAATGAATTAGGTAGAATCTTCAACATGGATATGTATGTGGTTGGTTTGGACCTTTTGGTTTATATCGGGCGTAAGCAAACCACTCCAATGAAGAAGAACCAAGCCCATCAACATCAGCATACGCATTCACAATTATTTTTGGGGTAAAAATACACAATGAAGTTGGTAAAATTCTTTGTATAAATAGTTTTTTTGTTGTTGAAAAGCTGACCAAATTAAAAAAATAATAATATTGTCAAGTATATAGAAATAAAAACATAATACGATCCACTACTTGCGCTAGTAGGAACAGCAAGCTCTCGGAAACAAGCAGTTTTTTTTTTTTTTTTTTTTTTTTTTAATATTTATTTAAAATAATCAAGTGGGATGGCATTTTTAATTACTCAAACAGTGAGATTTTCTTGTACTAGATCCTTTCTGTATTACCAAAAATTTATGTGAACAATATTCAGTACTAGTTGAATATGAAAATATAAAATAGAAAATAAACTACATGTTAACACTACTACATTTTACACTTTGAGCGACGAAGAGAATTTCGTTGCGCAAAATACATTGTAGTCGCACAAATTTCAGCGCGACAGAAACTTCGTCGCGCAGAATCCGTTGCGCAAAGATCGTGAAGAAAGACTTTGCGCGACGAAGTTTTTCATTGGTCGCGCAAAGTGACTTTGAGCAACGAAAAAATATTGGTCGCGCAAGACCTTGCGCGACAAAAAATATTAGTCGTGTAAAATTTTGCGCGACGAAAAACATTGGTCACGCAAAGTTTTAAGCGACGAAAAACTTTGGTCGCGCAAAGTCTTAAAAAAATTAAATAAATAAAAATTTCCCGCGTCCGATTTTTGATATCCGCCCAAATTTTTAGAGTTTTGTGCGACGAATACTAACGTCGCGCAAATATTTGAGCGACGAAATATTTTGGTTTTTGACTTTTTGTTTTATGATTTCTTTAATATTAATTTAATTATATTAATTTTTTTGAATTTTTACTTTTAAATTTTAATTTAATTGTATGATTTTTTTTGTTACTTTAATTTAAATTGATATTAATTTAATTATATTAATTTTTTTGAATTTTTACTTTTTAAATTTAATTTAATTGTATGATTTTTTTTAATTACTTTAATTTAAATTGATATATTCAAAATAAAATTACATATGAAAAATAGTGATCAAATTATCCAATAAATAAATAAATATATAATATTCAAAATGTACACATAAATTAACAAAGTACAATAATAAAATCCTAATATAAACGTATTGTGGTGGTAGTGGCGGAGGATATGTTTTGATAGCTTCCTAATCCTCAACTTTAGCCGTCAAAGGCTCGATGATTCCCTACAAAAAAAAAAAAAAAAAAAAAAAAAAAGGATAATCTCCCCTAAAATTGTTATACCACAAATCCAACCCAAACTCCAATCCCTCCCCTTTACTCAACCCCAAACCCCACACAAACTCAAAACTAACTCCAAAAACACATATTAATGAAAAAAAATTTAAAATTAGGAGAGAATATACCTTTTGGCAAGATTGAGAGTGAGTGAGAATGAGAGAGAGAAGTGATTGTGAGAATTAGAGAAGATAGTGATAGAGAGATGAGAGAGTGAGTGAGAGTGAGAAATAGTGGAAAGAGAGATGAGAGAGTGAGTGAGAGTGAGAGATAGTGAAGAAAGAGATGATGTGAGATTAAGTGAGAGGAGTGAGTGTGAGAGAAAGGGTGGGATTTGGGGAGAGGGAAAGAGAAAGGAGAGGTAAGAGTAGAGAATGACATTGAGAAAATGATGGAGGAGTTATTTTCGTTTTAAAAACCGTATCACTTTGCACGACGAACAATATTGTTGGTCGCGTAAATTTTTGCGAGACGAAAAATATTGGAATATTGGTCACACAAAGTTTTGCGCGACGAATTGGTCGTGCAAAGTTTTGTGCAACGAAACATATTGGTCGCGCAAAGTTTTGCGAGACATATATTGGAATATTGGTCGCGCAAAGTCAAAAAATAAAATAAAATTCCCGCGTCCCGTTTTTCGTACCCGCCCAAATTTTTAAATTTTTGCGCAACGAAAAATACATATTGGTCGTGCAAAGTCTAAAAAAATTATATAAAAAATTCCCGTGTCCCATTTTTGGTACCCGCCCAAATTTTTGCACGCCGAAAAATATATATTGGTCGCGCAAAGTCTAAAATTTTAAATAAATAAAAAAATCTCGTGTCCCATTTTTGGTACCTGCCCAAATTTTTAGAGTTTTGCGCAACGAACCGTTGTTCGTGTAAACTTTTGAGAGACGAAAAATTGGTTCGTAGCACAATATTTATAAAAATAATTGTTATGAATAATAAAAAATAAAATAATTTTATTTTACAATTTAAAATATAAATAAGGTTAAAGCTACTTAATAAATGTATATACTATTCAATTTCTTAAGTGTTATACGTACAAAATAAATATATATATATATATATATATACACACACACCATTCAATGATCCAACCATTAGACTTGTTTGTATATACTTCAAGATCGTATACCCAAAATCGCAAAAAACAAACATTCAAAGATCTAGTAACGGGACAAAATTTTTTGATGGTTATAAATGAAAAATCACGATTTAACGGTTATTTTAACTCCGATTTTGATGATTTTTTTTATAGCTACACTCCTTGACCCTATAAGAATACAATGACTAAATTTGATCTTCAATTTAAAATATTTACACTAGTGGATACCACAAAATCTTATGTTATATTTAACGAAAGTATAAATAAACTCTTAATTGTTAGTGAATATATTGTTTTGATGGGATAAGCATTCTAAGAAACTAGTTTCAACAATCCAACCGTCAAACTTGTTTTTTTATACTTCGAGATCATATACGCCAAAAACCGGAAAAAATAAACATTTAGAGATCAAGTAACGGGACAAAATATTTTGACAGTTATAAATGAAAAATCATGATTTAACGGTTATTTTAACTCCGATTTTGATGATTTTTTACCGCTACACTCCTTGACCCTATATGAATACAATGACTGAATTTGATCTTCAATTTAAAATATTTACACTAGTGGATACCACAAAATCTTATGTTATATTTAACGAAAGTATAAATAAACTTTTAATTATTAGTGAATATATTGTTTTGATGGCATACGCATTCTAAGAAACTAGTTTCAACGATCCAACCGTCAAACTTGTTTGTTTATACTTCGAGATCATATACGCCAAAAATGGGAAAAAATAAACATTCAGAGATCAAGTAACGGGACAAAAAATTTTGACAGTTATAAATGAAAAATCATGATTTAACGGTTATTTTAACTCCGATTTTGATGAATTTTTTTACAGCTACACTCCTTGACCCTATATGAATACAATGACTGAATTTGATCTTCAATTTAAAATTTTTACACTAGTGGATACCACAAAATCTTATGTTATATTTAACGAAAGTATAAATAAACTTTTAATTATTAGTGAATATATTGTTTTGATGGCATACGCATTCAACAAAACTAGTTTCAACGATCCAACCGTCAAACTTGTTTGTTTATACTTCAAGATCATATACGCCAAAAATCGGAAAAAATAAACATTCAGAGATCAAGTAATGGGACAAAACTTTTCGACGGTTATAAATGAAAAATCACAATTTAACGGTTATTTTAACTCCGATTTTGATGATTTTTTACAACTACACTCCTTGACCCTATATGAATACAATAAACTAATTCGATCGTCAATTTATAAAATATATTTTCTAACAAAAACCCAATCGAACAACAATAATATATTTTTCTAACAAAAATCCGATCCGATCTAAAATGAAAAATTTAAAGCTACTTAATAAAAATATATATACCGTTTAATTTCTTAAGTGTTATGCATACAAAATAAAAAACAAAAATAAATTGGTTTAGGTGACGGAATGTTTGGATTACGCCATGCAAAGATTTTAAAAAATAATTTTTTTAATTTTATTTATTTTTATAAGGACTTTGCGCGACGAAGTTTATTGTTTTGTCGCGTAAAGTCACTTTGAGCGACGATGTATTGTCGTCGCGCAAAGTCACTTTGCCCGACGAATTGTTTTTTCGTCGTGCAAAATTTGGTCGCGCAAGACTTTGAGCGACGATGTATTGTCGTCGCGCAAAGTGACTTTGCGCGACGAATTGTTTTTCTTCTCACAAAAGTTGGTCATGCAAGGTTTTGAGCGACGAAGTTTTGAGTTTCGTCGCGCAAAGTGACTTTGAGCAACGAATAGTTTTTCGTCGCGCAAAATTTGATCGCGCAAGGGTTATTTTTTACTAGTGTAAAATGAAGATCAAGATCAATGGCGAATTTATTACTTGGGGGCCAATAATATAGATTTTTCAATATATTAATATACGTTTTACATGAAATGCTGGAGTTTGGGGGGTGCCACCGCCACTTTGGGCCAAAGTGTGGCTCCGCCCCTCATCGGGACAACGGTGGGCGGAGAGGAGGAGTAAAAGAACAAGACAATATACTTGAATTGAAACCAAGCTGTTGCCAAATTACATGTGCAACTCATATAACATATATACCACAAAGTAGTGAAAATAACTAGTTATGGAGTAGTAAGCTAACATTTTGGAGGAAATTAAAATATTTACAACTGAAAGTTGAAACTGTTACATTGATTGAACTCTTGCTTATATCCAGGTTGTAGTTGCAACAATCCAAGATTTGAAACCTCTGCCTTACCTTACGGCCATATACTTTATGTGAGATGCCATGCATTTGGCCTAAGAGATCACTATTGCTGGATTTGATTGAAGCTTTAACATTTGTCTTGAGTACTAGGTTGTTCCATAACATCTTGAATTAAAGATGACATTTTTGAGTGAGATGACCCTCCTTCCATTGCCCTTCTACCCTTCTCTCCAACTTCTCTTGCTCTCTTTCTTCGCCTTTCGCCTTCTTCACCCTCATCCATCAGTGCTTCTATTGACTTCTTCACTCCATCTTTCTTGACCGACACTCCAACTTTCTCTTCATCCCCCCACCTAACCGGGACTTCTACACCTACCCGAACACCGATCCTTAGCACCTCTATGATCAGCTTTTCGTTGAAGAACTGCTCTGCGAATAGAGGCCATGTTATCATTGGCACACCAGAACATGCCCCTTCTATTGTTGAGTTCCAACCACAGTGAGTTAAGAACCCTGCAATTGCAGGACTTGAGAGAATAAGAACTTGTGGAGCCCAACCTTTGATCAAAAGACCCCTCCCCTTGATCCTTTCCTCAAATCTTTCCTCCACTAACCACTTCTCCAATTGTGAATATTTCTCACTTGTTTTTATCACCCAGATAAATGGTTGCCCTGATGCCTCTAAACCAAGCCCAAGTTGTATCAATTGTGATGGAACTAGTCTGCAAAGGCTTCCAAGACAAGCATAAATGACAGACCTTGGTTTCATAGAGTGAAGCCACTCCAAGCATTGCATCTCATCAATGGAAGCTTTGTTGCCTCTCGAAAACCTGTCCAAATTGTTTCTGTTGCACAAAGAAACAGGCCCAATGCACCAAACCTTTTTACCAAGCACCTTCTCCAACTCCTCAGCACACCCATGTTCCAATTCATTAAAGCTATTCACCACAACCCCATAAGACTTTGATTCTGCCTCTTGTATCTTCTCCCGAAAATCTTCCAAATCGGGTAGGGTAACAAATGATCCGGGCAGCTGGGCCTTCGTGATCTCAATCCTCTGGGGCAACCCTGGCACTACAAAAGGTTCATAGTCAGAGGTGACAGAGCGGAGAACATCAGAGGACTTGACATTATGAGAGCTCAGCAGTGAGAAGCAGCACATCCCATGGAAAACAATCCTCGGAATATTGAATTTCTGAGCTGTTTTCAACGTCCATGATAGGGCCTTGTCGGATATTATGCAGCTCGGAGGCAGATTGTGCTCGTTAAGGTAGCGTTCGAGCGGTTCTTGTAGCAGATTTAGAGCCTTATAGAATTTTCTGAGCAGGTCTCTTGATGGCAACATGTCAAGATTCTCACACTCAATTGGAAGCCCCACTTCCTGGCATGGAAATGGGATTTCCACAAGAGCTATTTGAAGGCCAGATTTTATTGCTCTGGAAATTGTTGCCTCAAACCTTGAGGCATTGTATGGGGTAGTGACCAAGCTGACCATCACCCCACGCTCTGCAATAAGCCTAGCCATGTCTACCATGGGGATCATGTGGCCTTGTGCCATGAGTGGGATTAAGACAAAGTGAGGCTGGTTCTGCCTGGCCAGAGAAGCCATATCGTTAAAAAGGGAAGAAAAAAAAAATATTGGTTACAGGTCTTCTTCCCTACTAAGATTATTACGCATATAGATGGTTTACGGTTTCAGAAAGAAGATCTGTAAATGTGATCGGCTACACTAATGGATTTCGGCGAAGCCTAGTCTCCCAATGCTAGCTTGACTTTGAATAATGTATAGTCAAATAAAAACAACAAAATTCTGGGTTTGATCGAGTCATGTTCACATGCAATTTCATTACCCTACATGGCCCAAGTGTGTATGTGTTTTTTTTAATTGCGTGCAAAAAAAACCTGTAAATTTGGACATGATCTATCACTACGATGAGTGAGTGAGTGTTACTTTCGTCCAGTTAATTTTATCCTCAGATTCTAATAAGTAAGAGAAGCATCCAAACCCTGCACCAAAGTTGTAGATATTTGATTGATTGTCCAGAAGGGAATTTCCTCATCAATACTAAAAGGCTTCTCTAGAATGTTCCAATTTCCAACCCTCTTGGTTAATGAACAAAGTTGAGGATAGAGTGAGCAACACTCATGACTTCAGAACTGGGTGGTTAATGAAATTTATCAAGAAAAATTAAATAATATAATAGTAATAAGACTGAGTCAATTGCCCTTACAAAAAAGATTTTTTTAAAATAATAATAAAATGGAAATAAGACTGGGTCAATTTCTATGTGTGCAGGATGTGTGGTTGGATCTCATATGTATGAAGTCACCTCAGATTACAAGTCTTATGATTGTTGATATAGTGGTTTACTTACTACGTGCTTGACTTGGACGGATTCTAAGTTTTTTATTATTATTATAAGCATATGCTTTTATACATGCATGTTAGTCTCTTCTGTTACATATCCAATGGCTCAACCCCCCATTTGGTTTTGCCTCAGTCAATGCTTTGCGTGCCCATAGGTTTCAACAACTTCAACTCTAGCTTCGCTGACCTGGACACAATGTTAGCTACATGTTATCCAGTGGAAAAAATAAAAGATATTTGTTTACAAGAGTTTCATTCACGTCTCTACATTAACGATAAACGTCGTGTCGCTATATGTTGTATAATTTAGTAAAATGAAAAGAAAGAGATGTCGTTTTCAAGAGTTTCGTTCATTAACGATTGATAATTATCAACGCATATGCTTGAACAACTCTACAAATGAAAACGGATGCATCTTGTATTGAACAAAGACTATAACATACAAATTTGTTCTACAAATTGACGGGGTAACTAAAGCATATTATACTTTATTTAGCAACGACGTGTTAGTAGGTTTGATGTCTCATAACAACCAAGCAGGTGAGCAGTCACGGTATTAATTTGTATATATTATATCTCTTAAAGGAAGTACTATTTTCCGACCAGAAACTGGAAGTACTCTTTAAAACGATGAAGATGTGTGGTGGAGTACTCTTTATACCTCAGTTTTTTTAAAGAATTTTTTTATAAAAAATATCTGTTTTTTCGGATTAAAAAAAAAAAGCCTTAGGTGACGTTAGTTGGGCCCCATCCAAGTATTTAGCTCAAGCTGACCAAAGAGCCACATGTGGCCCTCATTTTAGGAATTGGCCCTTTGTGTATACCTCCATTTTTTTGTAACTCTTTATGTAACCCACTCTTAAAGATGAATTTTGGGTTATATTTGAGGATATAGCCCTCACTTGGACCCTTCTATCTTTGGTTGTGTCTCTAGTGTTCAATGAGCTTTAGTGGGCTGGGTTGCAGTCCATATTATACTCACACTACTGGAAATTGGGACAAGCAGACCATGCAGTGCCTATCTGAACATGTCTGTCATAAGGATAAGGTCACCTCTTGGGCACACAAATTCACAGATGGTATTCAGAATGAAACGGGCAGTCAGATTAATTGGAAAGATTGACAATGAAATAGAAAGTTTCAAATTTTGGATAAGCACAGGAGTATTTGATTGAATTCTGGCAATTCTAATCATGCACCAATGTTCCAAACAGCTAAATAAAAGCATTTAATGGTAAAACATTTAACTACAAATTGAAAAATGATTCATGTGCTCTTACCTTAAATGGATATTGCTAGTTGTTTGCTTTGCATGATCTTATATCTTCAATCAACAATGTCATGTTGAGGTAAGAAGATCCTCCTTCTTCTGTGGCCTTCTTGGCCAAAACTGCAAGTTCTCTTGCTCTCTTCCTTCTATCTTCTCCTTCTTTCCCTTCCTTGATCATAACTTTGTCTATAGCCTCCTTAAACTCAACCCTCTTCACCAACACCTTAGATATCTCTTGTTCCCCCAAGGGAATTGCAACTTTAGCCCCCACACTCTCACCAATCTTCAAGACTTGCACTATAAACTTCTCATTGTAGAACTGCTCAGCGAAAAAGGGCCATGTGATCATTGGAATTCCAGCACAAATGCCTTCCAATGTTGAGTTCCAACCACAATGTGTTAGAAATCCTCCAACTGCAGGGTGTGACAATATAAGCACCTGTGGAGCCCAACCATGGATCAACAAACCTCTCCCTTTTATCCTCTCCTCAAATCCATCTTCCAATAGCCATTTTTCCCATTCATCTATTTTGTTTCTGCTGATCACCCACACGAAAGGCCGGTTCGATGCTTCTAACCCCAAACCAAGCTCTACCAATTGAAGGGTTGTAACTTGGCCAAGGCTCCCAAGACATACATAAACCACTGAGCTCTGAGGCCATGAACCAAGCCAGTTCAAGCACTTGTTTTCATCAATTGAGGCCATGTTGCCTCTCTGAGCCTTGTCCAAATCGGTCTTGTTGGATAGTGAAACTGGGCCAATGCTCCAAACTCTACCCTGATTGACCTTTTTGTACTCTTTGACGTATTCGAATTCCAGCTCCTCAAAGCTATTGACAACAATCCCATATGCCCCTTCTTCAGATTCTTTTACTTTGTCGTGAAGACTCGTGAAATCTTCTGAACCCGGATTCATATCCCCCGGAAGTTGGAATTTAGTAAGTTCAATCTCATCAGGCAAACCAGGCACCAAAAAAGGCTCTGATCCTGAGACACTCTCTAGGACCCTGTGTTCTTGTATGTTATGAGAACACAAGAGAGTGAAGCAACTAGTCCCATCAAACAAAAGCCTTGGCATCCGAAACTTTTGAGCAATGTTAGCCGTCCATGCCATATATTTATCAGCTATTATGCAGCTGGGATTGGGTTTCGTAGTTTCAAGAAATTTCTCAACTGGTTCTTGCAGCTTTTCAACTGCAGCAAAGAAATTCCAAAACAATTTTCTCGAGGGAACTGAATCCATGTTTTCACATCCCTCTGGCAAGCCAAACTCTTGGAGTGGCAAACTGAACTGGACAAGTTGGATAGGGAGACCAGAATCGATGGAACGATCGATGATCGGTTTGATTCTGATGGCATTGAGGGGTGTGGTTACAATTGTAACAACCACACCACGCTGTGCTAATAGCTTGGCATTGTCTGCCATTGGTATAAGGTGGCCTGGAGACATCAATGGTATCAAAACAAAGTGCAGCTGATCATCATGGGATTCTGAAGCCATTGCAATTGGAATTGTTGGAGAGAAGAGATTGATAATAAATCAAAGATATCTAAATCTGGATGAAAATGGAGTTTAGTGCGTGTGTGTGTAGTCTTTTTTAATTAGATGGATTGGAATATAGTGAGGTCAGAGCTTACATCTTGGTTTGTTTTATGATAAGGTGTGTTTTTCAAGGCACGTGTGGCCCAATTGTCTCTTCTGAATTTGTCAATATTTTTCATTTTGGATGTTTTAGGAGTCTGAAAGATGCTATCACAATAATTATGCTTTAATCTAGATAGATACTGTAAAACTTTGACTAACTATGCAAAGCACTGACCCAAATCTCTTGATTAGAGGTATAATATTATTTAGTTTAAGATTAGAGGAGTTAGCAACTGAGGAAGTACCAACTGAGGCACACCAAGAAAATAACATTAAGTGGGTTTGGGGATATGTAATTACATTAACAACTTTAATTATGGGTAGTCAGCAGCAACATGCCATCTGATAAGTATGTCACATGATCTCTTCTTAGTTTGTCTGACTGCAGTTACTTCCCTGTTGCATGATATCTTGGATTAGCAGTGCAATGTTGAGGTGAGAAGATCCCCCTTCTTCTACTGCTCTCCTTGCCATTTCTCCAAACTTTTTAGCTCTTTCTCTTCTGCCTTGGCTTTCTTCTCCATCCATCAATTTTTCTATGGCCTCCTTCACATTTTCCTTTTTCACCAACACCCCAATCTTCTCCTCCTCTCCCCACTTCAGTGGATATTCCACCCCAACTTTCACTGCAATCTTTAGAATCTGTTCAACTAGTGTCTCATTGAGGAATTGGTCCGAAAACAGTGGCCATGTGATCAAGGGCAACCCGGCACATATCGCTTCCAATGTGGAGTTCCAGCCACAGTGTGTTAAGAACCCGCCAATTGCAGGATGTGATAATATAAGTGTTTGTGGAGCCCAACCCCGAATCAGAAGGCTATTTTCTTTCGTTCTTTCCTTGAATCCATTTTCTGAAATCCATTTCTCCAGTTCCTCTGATTGCTTGTATCCCCTTACAACCCAAATGAACGGTCTATTTGATGCCTCTAACCCCGACCCAAGCTCTATCAGTTGTTCAGAGATGAGGTTACACATACTTCCAAGGCAAGCATAAACTACAGAACCTGGTGCCCATGAGTCAAGCCACTTCAAGCAGTGATGTTCATCAATTGAGGCCTTGTTACCCCTTTGTGCCTTGTCCAAGTCATCTTTGTTGCATAGTGAAGCAGGGCCAATGCACCAGACTTATTCTTTCTTGCATTCCTGTATTCTTTAACATATTCTGGCTCCAATTCCTCAAAAGTATTAACGATCATCCCATATGACTCCATCTCAGCTGCTGCCACTTTCTCAGTAAAACCTTTCACTCTTGTTGTCAGCCTCCCAGAAACCTGGGCTTTCGTTATCTCAATTTGATCAGGCAAGTCAGGTACAACAAGGTACTCTGATTCGGATGTCACATTCTCAAGAACTTTGGATACGCGCAAATTGTGAATGAACAAGAGACAGAAGCAGCATGTTCCACTGAAAGATATCCTTGGAATGTGAAACTTGCTGGCAATGCTGGCTGTCCATGGAAGACACATGTCTGAGATTATGCAGTTTGGCTTCGGGATAAGCTCTTCAAACAGTTTCTCTACCGGCTGTTGAAGCAGGGCAGTTGCTGCAAAAAAATTCAAGATCAGGTCTTGTGAAGGTAGCATTTCAGGGTTCTCGCAACCATCAGGCAATCCTGCTTCTTCACTTGGAAATTTCAGTTGGATTAACCGGATTTGGAGCCCGGATTCTACGGCTCGAGTAACGACTGCTTCAACACGTGCTGCATTATGTGGGGTGGTGACTAGGGTGACAAGGATCCCTTGTTGTGCCAACAGTCTGCCAATGTCTGTCATTGGGATCAAGTGGCCTGAGGCCGGAAAGGGCAACAAGAGAAAGTGAAGCTGGCTTTGTTGATGAGAAGCCATGGAAACTAAATGGAATTGATAAACAACTATAAATGATCTATGAATTAAGCAGAGACTTAAGTCACTTGCTTAATGAGTAGTGATTTATATATAGCAAACTGCTTTGCTGGTGACGTAAGAGCATACGTATATATGTGCATTGACTTATCCAAGAATATTTTAGTGGTTGAGAGAGTAGAACAAAATTCTGTGCTATGGACAAGATAATGTTACAACACTCTCATTGTCTTCCCATGTCATTCTCTGTTTTCTATAGCACTTCTGGATTTACGTGAAGCATCTCCCATTACTAAATATGGAACATAGAAGATATTTTTGGGCTCTCACTGAGCACCTAAAATAGGATGCGTTGTCAGATTCTTTTTTTTCAGCAGCAGTTAGATAACATGCGAAGGTAGGCAGGAAACCGTTCTGTTTGGTTCGGTCTAGAGCCACATTGTGAATCGAACCGACCAAGTGGAACCGTAAGCCAAACCAATAAGATTAGTTTAGGCCAGTTCAGTTTATCAAGATTTGCGATTTCGGGTGGTCATTTCGATTTCTATTTCACACCAATTTTCTTATTTTTTGTTTAATTATTGCTTTTACAAAATTAATAGGCTGAAACACACCTATATTTGGTTCTTCCAAATCAACCTAAGTACAGTAATGAGACAAATAGTGAAATAAAAAACTGCATTATAATCATTTCAAAATCTATGCAGTAAGCAGTATGCTTGAGAAAAGATCCTTCACATCCTTTTTAGTTTGTGTTTATGCAATTTAGTTCTTTGATCTCTTGGATTAGCTGTTTAATGTTGAGGTGAGAAGATCCACCTTCTGCTACTGCTCTCTTTGCCATCTCTGCTAACTCTCTGGCTCTCTCTCTCCTTCCTTGGCTTTCTTCTCCATCCATCAATTTCTCTATGGCCTCCTTCACTTTCTCCTTTCTTAACACCCTCCTAATCTTCTCCTCCTCTCCCCAAGTCACTGGAAATTCCACACCAACTCTCACCGCAATCTTTAGAATCTGTTCAACAAATTTCTCATTCATAAATTGGTCCCCAAAAAGTGGCCATGTGAGCAAAGGCACCCCAGCACAAATCCCTTCCAATGTGGAATTCCAGCCACAATGTGTCAAGAACCCACCAACTGCAGGGTGCGATAATATGAGCGTCTGCGGAGCCCAACCCCGAATCAAGAGGCTCCTTGCTTTGTTCCTTTCCTCAAATCCACTTTCTGCAATCCACTTCTCCAATTCCTGTGATTCTCTGCAGCCCCTTACAACCCAAATGAACGGTTTATTTGATGCCTCTAACGCCAATCCAATCTCTACCAACTGTTCAGAGCTAAGGTTACACATACTTCCAAGGCAAGCATAAAGTACAGAAGCTGGTGCCCATGAATCAAGCCACTTGAAGCAGTGAAGTTCATCAATGGAGACTTTGTTGCCCCTTTGTGCCTTGTCCAAGTCGTCTTTGTTGCATAGGGAAGCAGGGCCAATGCACCAGAGTTTATCCTTCTTTACCTTTTTGTATTCTTTAACATATGCTGGCTCCAATTCCTCAAAAGTATTCATGATCATCCCATATGTCTCTGTGTCAGCTGCTGCCATTTCGTCACCAATATCTTTCAGTTTTGCTGTCACTGTCCCGTCTGGAAGCTGAGCTTTTGTCATCTCAATTCGATCAGGCAGGTCAGGCAGAACAAGGTACTCTGAATCAGACGTTACACTCTCAAGCACGTTGGATGCGCGCAAATTGTGAGCACACAAGAAGCTGAAGCAGCCTGTTCCACCAAAAGATATCCTTGGAATGTGATGCTTGCTAGCAATGCTATATGTCCATGGAAAAGTCACGTCTGAGATTATGCAATTTGGCTTTGGAGTGAGCTCTTCAAATAATTTCTCTACTGGCTTGTGAAGCAAGGCAGTTGCAGCAAAGAAATTGAAGACCAATTCTGGTGAAGGTAGCATGTCGAAGTTTTCGCAGCCTTCGGGCAATCCTGCTTCTTCGGCTGGAAATTTCACTTGGATTACGCGGATTTGGAGCCCGGATTCTATGTCTCGAGTAAGAACTGCTTGAAATCGGGCTGCATTGTGGGGTGTGGTGAATATGGTGACAATGATGCCTTGTTGTGCAAACAATCTGGCAATGTCTATCAATGGGATCATGTGGCCTGAAGCCATTAGAGGAAAGAACACAAAGTGAAGCTGGTGGTCTTGATGAGAAGCCATGGAAATCAAGGGGAAGAGATGAACAACGATAATGTTCTATGAAATGAATTAAGCAGGCTTAAGTTTCTTATTTAAGTACTGCTATATATAAAAACTTTGATGCTACCAGTCAATTGTTCTTTGTTTATACATGTATTAGTTTATCCAAAGAAGACATGTAAGAGCATACGTATACATGTATTAGTTTATCCAAAGAAGATAATAGTGACTCAGAGTAGAAAATGATGTTTATGGATGAAGAGGTTTAGGAAATAGCTTGACTATGAATAGAAAACTTTTAAAAGAGTAACAAAGTAATTTTATTTGAATGCGGAGAAAAGGTACAAAGCTTAGATATAAGACTTAGTGGGATATAGGACAGCTGGTAGTTTTTCAGCTTATATATTTGTCAAGGCAACAAGCCTATATATAGAAGAGTTCTAACCGACAAAGTTAGTTTATTATAGAAAATATTTAGTCATATACCCATTCTTACCACTAATGATATAGATAAACTATACACCATTTAATTTCTATAAACAAACCAAAAAATGACAGCTGGCCATATTAAATTTAATTTTGATATTAAATTATTTTGATGCCCTATTGAGTGTTTTAGATTTTTTATGCGGTTTTGGGATTGGACTTATTTTAAGAAATCAATGACAATTTTGTAATTTATAAGAATTTAAAAGCCGCTTTGTTATATTGTAAATGAGCTTTGAGTGTATTTTCTAAAGTTCATTTCATATATTATTATTTTTTAATATTTGGGCCCCAATTTGATACCATGATATTTTAAATTCAACGACTTTACTAAGTTGGTTTGCTCATTTCCATTATTCTAGATTTTTCTATATTATTCAAGATACAAGTGTGCATTAATTTTAATAGAAAAGAGCTTCGTGGACAATGTTACCTTTGACCTTTCTCTTTCATCTGCTAAAACTTAGCATTGATACATTGAATTGATGAAAATGTCATGGACTCATGGTCATTGGGCCTACAAGCTGGGTGTGAGAAGTTTCGCATCAGCAAACTTTGACTATGGCTAAAGAACGTCCTCCTTGTGAAGTAACAGATTGTGAGATGTAAGCATGCCGTGAGTAACTATTAGTGTCTGCACAGAGGAAAGAAAAGACTAAAGAGTGAAAGTATCTTTGGGCTGGGTGAGACGAGGTCCGGTGGTCCAGGTGTGGAGTTTTTATCTTAAACATCTCGGCGCAATTAGCAAGGGATTACTTACCTTTAAGCGGTAGATTATTGTGATACTCCTCCAATGTAAGATTATACTAATCATCATTCATGACTTGTACCGAACCACGCAACCCCAACAGCATTAATCTCCCACACATCTAAATATGAAACATGAAAGATTATATGAAATAGCCCCTACTATTACCATAGAAGGTAAAAGAAGTAAATAGTGGAATTCTGTACAAATTGGTTAGAGCTTTTGCAACTAAATGGCAATTTTAAAATTACTTCCTTGTTGCATGATATGTTGGATTAGCTGTGTAATGTTAAGGTCAGAAGATCCACCTGTTTTCTTTGCCATCTCTCCAAACTCTCTGGCTCTCTCTCTCTTCTCCCTTGCCTTTGTTATCCAAGAATTTCTGGAGTTACGTGAAGCATCTCCGTTGCTAAATATGAAACATAGAAGATACTAGCAAAGGTGCCCGCGCGATGCTGCGGGTTTTAAAACTATCTGAAATGTGTATAAAGTTATGAAAATATATAGCAAGTTTAAGTCAGAAAATAAAAACTAATAACATGTTTTATATGTTACTTGTTATCTTAAAATATTGATCATATTTTATTAAACCAAGCAGCAATCAAAATATCAACAGTTGAGCTGCTCTTTGTTCAAGAGAGTTCGGACATGTCTTTACATATATGCTACTGGTTGGGGAAGGGGATTTTTGTACCTTGATGTCTGTTGAAAAGGAATCTATCTCTTGTTGGCTCTACTGTAGAAGTGGTTTCTATTGAATGAAGGCAATAACGATAATCACAGAATTAAGTTAAAAAATCAATACATGACAAACAACAATTTAGATACATCAAGCATTCTATTAATATGATGGACAAAGATCTAAGCTCAGTTTATTTAATTAATCGATAACAAATTTAGAACTGTGACAATTTATTAAATAGGCAAAAAAATCAATTGCATAAACCATAATTTAAATATGCCAAGCATTGTACGAATCTGGTGGACAAAAGTATAATTTCAGTCATTGCACAAATTATTAAATACCTATAACATAATGAAACCAAAAGATCCAAACTTTAATAAATGAAACCAAATACCCATATCAGAATCAAACCTTGCCCAAGTTTGTTGTACAGAAGCATAGAAAATCTATAGATACCTATGGTCAAAACTGATACATATATTGCCATTTATAGACTAAGTTCATCCAATGAGGAAGTAAGCTGATATAGTTCAAAAATAAACTGTATTGCCATTTATGTCACAACATCTACAAATCTTAGTAGAATAACACTTGGTTCCACTTGAAATTTGTAGCACAATACCTACAACTCAAGAAATATAAAATGATGTGATTAGCCTATATGGTAGATTGCAGAATTAATGATAAGAATTGATCAATAAGACTTGTGTTAACTGTGAGAAATTAATGTTCAAGCAAATACATATATAGGTTAAAATCAAGTTTGTAACAAATTATTAAAAATGGTATAATAGCAGTTGGCTATGACCAAATTTAAAAGAAAATTCCTAAAAAAAGGATGAAATACCAAACTTTCATTCAAATCAAGAAACACAAATAAAACATTT